GTGTGTGTGTGTGTGTGTGTGTGTGTGTGTGTGTGTGTGTGTGTGTGCATTTGCATGCATGCACACATGCACACATGCACACACAAAATGGCCATTTTGGAAAGGTGCTGGGAAAATCACAGAGAGGCACGTCCCATGAGCCTGGGATTGTTCTTTCACCTCTGACACTTTTTTCCATTTTCAGCCTGAGCTCTAACACCCCCCCCCCAGGGAGAAAGCACAACACAGCTGCTGAAAATTGGTAGTTGCATTTGTGTGCTTCTCATTCCCTACTCTGGCTGTCATTATGACAGTATTTCTTTGGGTCACATCTGGCTGGTCGGGTCTCAATGACTTGTGGTGGGGGAGAGGGAGAGGGTGATGAAGGAAGATCACAAAAACACATCAGGGCCATCATCAAAATAAATTACACCTATTCTCCCCAACCCCACCTCACTCACCCACTGCTACCCTGCCTTCAATCTGCTGCCATGAAAAGTGTTTCCATGGCAACTTAAGACCTGGGTTTGAAGCTCACATGATGAGGCTCCAGAGCACAGTTCCATACAGTCATATGTTCATGGACCACAGGCAGAAACTGCCTATTTTCAGAAGGATGCTTCTGTCCTGGTCTGGCCAGAGGGCTCCACCCAAAGCAGAGGGACCAGTTAGGGCCACTTGGAAATTTGAACAGCTTTGATAAATGAAATAAATTTGCCTAAGTATAATAAGTTAAATTCCTTCTCTTTGTACAAATTATTTAAAACCAGTTCTTATTCAGCATGGGCCTAAGAAATGTTTTCCAATATTTCATTTTAGTTTGGGGGCTGTGATTTGACTTTTGTTTTCTTTTGAAAGTATCACAATATAGCAACTCTTTCACGGCATGGGTTCCAGCTGTACCACCATTATTCAGTTTGAATTTAGTGTGTTTCCCTAGACTGAGATTTTCAGTCTGAACTGGGTGTTTTTTATATGTCTGAGTCCTCAATACCTAGAAGCAACCCTAGCATGCAACAAATGCTCCATAAATGTTTGCTAGGTACAAGGTACTCAGGCAAGTTTCAAGTAGTCATTTACAAAGAGGTACAAATTTTATAGCAATGTGGTTTCACCATGTTGACTATAACATAAAAACTGGGAAAGAGGGTTTTTGAATCAATAGGACATGGTGCTTAGAAAAAAATTTTAGAAGACACAATACCCTGTAGCACATCTCTGTGTTGTTACAAAATTCTTCTGATTCAGTAAGAAGTCAACCCCTCTCATGGCATGAATTCCTTTATCTCTGGCAGCTCTGCTTGATCGGAATGCAGCACTTCCCCCTCACTCTTCCCTGCTTCTGTATGTAGACAGTGTTCCCTAAGCAGGCTCCTATATTGTTTTCAGGATGGCCAAATAAATTCGACTATTTGCAAAATGCTGGGTGAGATGGTATTTTCAAGAACAGCAACAAGTATTTTTCGCTCAAATGCTAGAGAACAACACTGGATTCTGGCAAATCGTTTCTCATGCTGACGTAGGAGATACTACAAAGAATTATGTTCTCTGGAGTTTTTACAAATAATGCACTTGACTCTGCCAGAATGGAGACAGCTCAAATATGGTGTGTGTATTTGCCTATGGGACAGGCTATACTAAAATATGGCACCACAATGGCTCAAAGATTGGGAAAATAGTGTTGGCTGCTGGATAATAAAAGGGGCATCTTTAAAGTAAAAGATTTACTGTTGATTGGTTGACACGTAAGTACTATTTTTAAATATGCATCACACAACCAACAGAGTGTTTTGTTAGCTGTGAAAATGACAGCAAAGTATTTGTCTGATGGACTATTCTAATATGATAAGGTAAGATTAATATGAGAAATAAAAATATAATAGCATGCCATAATGCTACACAATTTAATTCAAATGGTTTCTTTTTAGAAGACCAGGTCTGACTTTTTTATTTAGCCCTAAACATTAATAATTCTGCCCTCTAGTTCTCTTTTGGGGACAAGGGCAAGACAAGGATGAGAACAGAAGAAACCCGAGAGTGGGCAGGGAATGGATGAAATCTCGGGTCAGGCCTGGCCGGCTCCTCCTCAGAGCATCGGTGTGGGGCCAGCATTTCTCACTATGGTAGGACACACAGAAAGATGGCATTTCTCTCAGGATGGTGGACAGAGAGAGACTCATTAGGGTGAACATTTCATGCTTTGTTTCTCAGGAAAGCGCTAGAAGAAATCAAAGACATTCATCAACCTCTCCATCAAAATCATGAGGGTGGGGAACAGGGGAAGGCTCTCGGCTACGTACCCAGTACAACACGTCTGTCCAGCCCTCCATGGTGATGCATTGGAACACTGTCAACATGGCGAAGGCAAAATTGTCAAAGTTGGTGATGCCGTGCTTGGGCCCATCCCAGCCGGGCTTGCACACTGTGCCGTTTTGGCACTGTCGCCCGTGGCCTGTCTCCAGGGCACAAGGGGAAGGATCATCTTCTGCTGGAACATCTCAAATGGCCAGGAAAAAGAGAAGGAAGCAGAGGGGCGGGACAGAGATGGGCAGAGAACAAAGGAGAGAAAAGTTAGAGAGGAAACTGAGAGGATAAGGTTGGTGGGCTAAGCAAAACCACCACAACAACAATCATGTACAACAAGTTTCTCCATATATGAATTCAACAACATAAGGAACTAGTATTCATTTTATTCTACCACTGATTTAGAAGGTCAGTACTTTCAACTAATTGTTATAAAATTGTATTTTAAGCCTAGTAATTGATTTCAAAGACAGTAGGGCTATTGCACATTCTGTTGTAACATATCAGCATCATAGTCAAATGGCCAATCAAAAAATAACGTTGATGCAATCACTTTGAGTGAAAACTATCCTGGAAAATGATAGGAAGTCCATGTTTTCTTTCTTTCTTTCTTTCTTTCTCTCTCCCCCCCGCCTCTCCCTCTCTCTCTCTCTCTCTCTCTCTCTCTCCCTCCTTTCCTCCCTTCCTTCCTTCTTCCTTTCTTCCTTCCTTCCCTTCCCTCCTTCCCTTCCCTCCTTCCCTCCCTCCCTCCCTCTCTCCCTCCCTCCCTCGCTTCTTTCTTTCTTTCTTTCTTTCTTTCTTTCTTTCTTTCTTT